TGCCTGGGGCTGTGCTGCCCTGTCGGAGGGCAGGGAGGAAGACTCTGCGTGTCTCGTGGGCTGCGCTGCCTCGGGAGGGTGGGTGCAGGGCCAAGAGCGTGGTACGTGTGCCCCACAGCCCCCTGCCCCGGGGAGGGAGGGTGGAGGGATGCCTGGGGCAGCCTTCCTGGGTGGCAGGGAGGGCTGTCACCCACGGAGGTGGGCCGTCTGCTGCAAAGAGGAGCTCCAGTGGTAACTGCAGCAGAGCTAAGGCAGGAAAAGCTCAGGGAGGAGCGCTCAGGGTGTCCCCTGGGATGCCAGAGTCACAGGGCAGCCAAGAGACGGTGGCAGCTGCATGCCAGGAACGGGTGGCAGAGGGCCCAGGCCATCTCCCCTGCCCTGGGGGCTGGCACGTAGCCCAGGGTCAAGCACTGCTCCTCCAGCAGCACAGCCTTGCGGAGGCGCCTGGGCTCCTCAGCCTACGAGAGGTGGCTGGGGAGTAGAGAGAGCACCCACTTTGTGGTCCTTGGCACCTGCAAGGGCTGGGTGGGCATCTCCCATGTGTTGTCCAGCAGCTCCATCTCCCCTGCTCAACCAGCTGCCTCAGTTGGTGGACTCTCTCTCAAGCTGTTCCATGAAATAGTGGGAGTTTTTTGCCGTGGCACCCCCTTCCCCAGCGCTCAAACACCACGGTTACTCTCCTGGCAGGGTGCTGGGCACTGAGAAACACCCGCAGGGCACCCGGGCTCACTGCGTGGGGCAGCGTGGTGCTGAGCACTGGGGATCCCAAGGTGCTCCTGGATCTGTCCAGGAATGGCTGTCACTGGAGCTCTGGGGAGAATCACAAGCTCAGGGAGGTCCCTGAGCATCACAAGAGAATGAGAATCACAAGCTTTTGAGAATCACACTCTCCTTGAGAATCACAAGCTCAGGGAGGTCATTCTCCCCCTCTGCTCTGCACTGGGGAGGCCACAACTGGAATCCTGCGTCCAGTTCTGGGCTCCCCAGTTCAAGAGAGACAGGGAACTGCTGGAGAGAGTCCAGCGTAGGGCAACAGAGATGATGGAGGGATTGGAGCATCTCCCTGATGAGGAAAGGCTGAGAGAGCTGGGGCTCTTTAGCCTGGAGAAGAGAAGGCTGAGGGGAGACCTTATTAATGCTGACAAGGATCTAAAGGGTGGGTTGAAGGAGGATGGAGCCGGACTCTTTTCAGTGGTTCCCAGTGACAGGACGAGGGGCAACGGGCACAAGCTGGACCATGGGAAGTTCCACTCCAATCTGAGGAAGAACTTCTTTGGGGTGAGGGTGGCAGAGCCCTGGCAGAGGCTGCCCAGGGAGGGTGTGGAGTCCCCTTCTCTGGAGATCTTCAAGCCCCGCCTGGATGCCATCCTGAGTGATGTGCTCTGGGCAGCCCTGCTTTGGCAGGGGAGTTGGACTGGAGGATCCCTAGAAGGTCCAACAATTCCATGGTTCTGTGACAGGGGGACAGGTTTTGGAAATGCTCCTCGCCCCATGCCAGCTGCCTCTAAAACAAACTCTCGGTGGAGAGAAGGTTTCTCTGGGAAGAAAAGAAAGGGCTCAGCAGGGAGAGGCCTGCAGAGACCCCACTGTGACCGGTCCCCCCTCAGGTTCAGGGGTGCTGTGGGCCTGACCTCCCTCTGCCAGGATCTTGCTGCAGATCCGGGGCTAGGCCACTGCTCCCCACCTTGCTCTGGATGTCTCCATATTCTTGAAATACCAGCTCCCTCTCCTAGCACCCAGCTCTGTCACCGGTGACGCTGGAGAGCCAGCCGCCGGGCGGATGTGTGCCCCACGGGGGGATCCCTGCTACCTTCATCATCGTCACCCCCTCCTGAGCGGCCAGGTTTGTTTTAAAGCCCCCGGCTTCCTTTTATTGCTTCCCCTCTCAGATTGCAGCCGGCTCCGAGGGGCTATTTTTAGAAGGCGGGCTGCTAAAAATAGCCCTGAGCTGTTTGGAATTGCGTCACGAGAGGTAACTCTCTCTCCATGGGCGGCTTGGCCTCCTGCACCCCGTCAGGGTACAAAAGGAGGCCGGGAGCAGCGGGGTCAGCAGGTTCAGACTCGGCCAGAAGGCGAAGGAGGCAACCACCAGCTCCAGGCATCCCGCTGCCGGCACCATGACCATCTTCTGCAGCCACTGCCACCGGCCACTGCAGGCGGAGACGAGCTGCCTGCCCAGGAGGGACAACCAGGCACCCAGTGCTTCCAAGCCCTTCAGGTGAGCTGCCTCCTGCCTTACCAGGCTGTGGGGAGCCCCCAGCGAGGCCAAGAGCTTGCGTGGTGCCCAACAGCCCCTTGCGAAGCTGCCAGCTGGGGTGTGGGGAGGAGGTGAGGGAGCTTGGGAGGGCGGAGGGATTTCAGGTGGACTAGAGCTCAGCCTGCTGGCCGCCCAGCTCCGCGCCCTGGCCGACAGCCTCTCGCCGCCCCCCGCTGCCGCCGCTCCGGCCTGGCCCGGGCAGGAGGCCGCCATCTTCCCGCACGACGCCTCCTTGGCCTGTCTCCTAGGCAACGCGGCGGAAGGGGCGGGGCTTCTAGCCGCGCATGCGCCCTGCGCCTACTATCCGCACCAATAAAACGTTGGCTTTCTTCCCTTGTCAGCCTATCGGCTTCCGTTCTGTCTGCGCGTGCGCCGCCCCGCCCCGCCCCTTCCGGTCGCGTTGCTTTCCCTCAGGAGAGGTCTCCGGGCCCGGGAGTGTCACCCAGACGGCTGGCTTTGCAGGTCAACCAAGAGTGCCTCCAAGGCTCGTCGGGACCAGATCAACGTGGAGCTGCAGGCGCTGCGTTCCTTGCTGCCCATCTCCGCCCGGGAGAAGGAGCGGCTCTCCTACCTCCACACCATGGCCCTGGTGTGCCTCCGGCTGCGGGGGGCTCAGCTCTTCCCTCCAGGTACCCATGTGGCACTGCCATCCCCCCCCCGCTAGCTCAGCTGTGCCTGGGGGCACCGTTCCTGCCCCACGGAGACAGCACTTCACCCTGTGCTCCTCCCTGCAGACTCAGCTCCTCCAGCGGGACCCGGCCTTGGCGCAGAGCTGCTCTCCCTGCTGCCGGGGTTTCTGCTTGTGCTCTCAGCCAACGGCAAGCTGGTCTACATCTCGGAGAACGTGGCTCAGGTCCTGGGCCTCTCCATGGTAAGGCCTGTCCACCCATGGCGTTTGTGGTCACTGTCCTTCTCCTGGTGAGGGTGGCAGAGCCCTGGCAGAGGCTGCCCAGGGAGGGTGTGGAGTCCCCTTCTCTGGAGATCTTCAAGCCCCACCTGGATGCCCTTCTGAGTGATGTGCTCTGGGCAGCCCTGCTTTGGCAGGGGAGTTGGGCTGGATGATCTCTAGAAGGTCCCTTCCAACTCTGACAATTCCGTGATTCCGAGCTTACATCCGAGCCGAGCTGCCCCGGCAGATGCCAGCCTGTGGCTCCAGCAGGCTCAGGGTGCCATCGGAAGGTCCACCAGAGCAGGAACAGCGCATGACAGCAGCCTTCTCTTTACCAGGTGGAGCTGCTGGCCCAGGGGGACACGGTCTTCGACATCCTAGATGGGCGAGCGCACGAGGAGGTGCGCAAGAAGCTCCTCCTTGCCCAGGAGGAGCCCGGCAGGGGTAAGGGAGGCCACGGCTGGCGTCTCACAGACGCCGCTGCCCTGCTCTTGGCTCTTTGTGGCCAGAGCGCCAGGGCCAGTGGAGCTGGGGAGCCCCTGACCCGCTCTGGCCGCTCTGTTTCCCTGCAGAAGTCACGTTTGTGGGCGAGATGCGGACGTCCAAGGCCTTGAGGCTGCAGCACGGGGGGAATCAGGCCGTGGCAGTGCGTGGGCGCTTCACAGCCCTGCGCTGGCCGGCCTCCCCCTCCGCCACAGCCTTCCTGGCCCTCTGCACCCCCGTCGCACGGTTGCCTGCGGACGGTGACGCTGGTTCCCAGGACCACCTCTTCCAGAGCACCCACATGCTAGACATGACGTTTACCGACGTCACGGAGAGGTGAGGGGCGTCTGCTGGCATCACAGCCCCCTCAGACAGCACAGATCCTCTCCCTCCACCAAGCCCGCGTTTGGGATGCAGGCTGGACCCTGCATGAGCCACAAGACTCTCCCGGGCACTTCCCAAGCCTCTTCCCTCCCTGGGGGAACCCATTTCTGTACCCTTGTTGTTTTGTTCCCCCTTCTATTGTGCAACAGCTGCTCCTTGCTGACAAGGTGCATACCCTGCAAAGCACTCAGTCCCCCGCTCCCCTTGTCTTCTCCAGTGTCACCTACCACCTCGGCTACCGCAGGGAGGAACTGATCGGTCAGTCATGGTACAACCTCCTGCACCCCGAGGATGCTGACCTAGCGGCCGCCCAACACAGGGCCGTGGGTGAGTGTCAGGCCTGGGTGTCCTTCTCTGGCTAAACCTGAAACCTGGCTGTCCAGGACAATGTAAACAAAGTGAATTTAGTCCTGCCTGTTGTGGCTCCCTGCTCCAAAAAGGATGAAGCAGAGAACTGGTTGCACAGCCCATACCTCTATAATAGGGTCTCAAGTAGCTTCCAAGCTTGGGAACAGGGTCACCCTGCTTTGCCACAGCGCAGAGAGGAGGGATAAGACCGCTTGAGCCCTAGCTTTTTGAGAGGCAGGACTGTTACGGACCTGACTCCACCACCTGGGGCTTCTGTCTCACTGGGGCCACAGCAGCACAATGACTAAAACCCCAGCAGGGCAGCCTGTGGGTTCCACAGGCAGTGTGCCACCCTGCCCTGGCAACTGAGGCAGCTGTGCCCTGCCGCAGGCTAACGCGACCCCTTGCCCGCAGCATTTGGGGCTGGGGCCGCAGCAGAGACAGCAGTGCTGCGCCTGCTGCGCAGGGACCGGACCTGGGCCTGGCTCGGTGTGTTGGCGCAGCGGGACTGCAGGGACCACTCCATCACCTGCACCAGCCGCTGCCTCAGGTGAGGGCTCCAACAAGGAGAAGGACAGCACGGGGCTGTTCCCTGGGGGCCGTGCCCCTCACTCCCTCCGTATCCCCTGCAGGGAGGAGGAGGCGGCCTACCTACGTGCCCGACACCACCACAACAACCACCACCACCTCGCACTCTGCACCACCGCCCCGCCACTGCCGCCCGCACCTCCCGCCGCGGCCCCGCCGGCGGCCGGACTAGAGCTCAGCCTGCTGGCCGCCCAGCTCCGCGCCCTGGCCGACAGCCTCTCGCCGCCCCCCGCTGCCGCCGCTCCGGCCTGGCCCGGGCAGGAGGCCGCCATCTTCCCGCACGACGCCTCCTTGGCCTGTCTCCTAGGCAACGCGGCGGAAGGGGCGGGGCTTCTAGCCGCGCATGCGCCCTGCGCCTACTACCCGCACCAATAAAACGTTGGCTTTCTTCCCTTGTCAGCCTATCGGCTTCCGTTCTGTCTGCGCGTGCGCCGCCCCGCCCCGCCCCTTCCGGTCGCGTTGCTTTCCCTCAGGAGAGGTCTCCGGGCCCGGGAGCGTGAGGAGGGCGGACAGACCGACAGTCCGATAGATAGACAGACAGACCGATAGATAGATATGCGGCCGCGTCGGGCCCAGGCGGGGTGTGGGGAGGAGGTGAGGGAGCTTGGGAGGGCGGAGGGATTTCAGGTGGTTGAAGAATAAAGGCAGATGGAACGGGCTGGGGCTCACGGCCTGGCACTGGGTGAGGTTTCCAGCCTTGCGGGGTTTGGTGGGGGAGGTCGCGTCGCGCAGGCTGCACCTCAAAGCACGGGTCACTGTCCAACCTGGCTACCCCAGTGGGAGAGGCATGGGCCAGGCTGGCGCTGCGTCCCCCTGGGTAGCCACGAGCACCTCTCGTGGTGCCCACTGCACTGAAACAGCCACCCATGGGTTGCTCTCCAGGTGGGCACTAGAGAGCAGCTCTGAGGAGAAAGACCTTGGAGTCCTGGTGGACAATAGGATGCCCATGAGCCAACAATGTGCCCTTGTGGCCAAGAAGGCCAACGGCATCCTGGGGGGCATCAGGAAGAGTGGGACCAGCAGGTGGAGGGAGGTCATCCTGCCCCTCTGCTCTGCCCTGGGGAGGCCCCATCTGAAGAACTGGGACCAGTTCTGGGCTCCCCAGTTCCAGAAGGACAGGGAACTACTGGAGAGGGTGCAGCAGAGGGCTACAAAGATGATGAGGGGCCTGGAGCATCTTTCTTAGGAGGAGAGGCTGAAGGACTTGGGTCTTTTTAGTCTGGAGAAGAGAAGGCTGAGAGGGAATCTGGTCAATGTTTATGAATACTTAAAGGGAGGGTGTCAGGAGGATGGGGCTGGTCTTTTTTCAGCGGTGCCCAGGGACAGGACAAGAGGAAATGGGCACAAACTTCAATAGAAGAAGTTCCACCTAGAGATGAAGAGGAATTTCTTTCCTTTAAGAGTGCCAGAGCCCTGGCAGAGGCTGCCCAGGGAGGTGGTGGAGTCTCCTCCTCTGGAGACATTCAAACCCCACCTGAACACGTTCCTGTGCACCCTGCTCTGGGTGGACCTGCTTTGGCAGGGGGTTGGAGTAGATGATCTCCAGGGGTCCCTTCCAACCCCATGTGATTCTGTGACCCTCTTCCAGGGGAGCATCTCCACTCCCTGTGCCTGAGCTCGCAATTCTCCCGGTGGGAAATGCTGTCCCTCTCCCCATCCTGGACACGTTCCCCCCCACTCACCCAGACGGCTGGCTTTGCAGGTCAACCAAGAGTGCCTCCAAGGCTCGTCGGGACCAGATCAACGTGGAGCTGCAGGCGCTGCGTTCCTTGCTGCCCATCTCCGCCCGGGAGAAGGAGCGGCTCTCCTACCTCCACACCATGGCCCTGGTGTGCCTCCGGCTGCGGGGGGCTCAGCTCTTCCCTCCAGGTACCCATGTGGCACTGCCATCCCCCCCCCGCTAGCTCAGCTGTGCCTGGGGGCACCGTTCCTGCCCCACGGAGACAGCACTTCACCCTGTGCTCCTCCCTGCAGACTCAGCTCCTCCAGTGGGACCCGGCCTTGGCGCAGAGCTGCTCTCCCTGCTGCCAGGGTTTCTGCTTGTGCTCTCGGCCAACGGCAAGCTGGTCTACATCTCGGAGAACGTGGCTCAGGTCCTGGGCCTCTCCATGGTAAGGCCTGTCCACCCATGGCGTTTGTGGTCACTGTCCTTCTCCTGGTGAGGGTGGCAGAGCCCTGGCAGAGGCTGCCCAGGGAGGGTGTGGAGTCCCCTTCTCTGGAGATCTTCAAGCCCCACCTGGATGCCCTTCTGAGTGATGTGCTCTGGGCAGCCCTGCTTTGGCAGGGGAGTTGGGCTGGATGATCTCTAGAAGGTCCCTTCCAACTCTGACAATTCCGTGATTCCGAGCTTACATCCGAGCCGAGCTGCCCCGGCAGATGCCAGCCTGTGGCTCCAGCAGGCTCAGGGTGCCATCGGAAGGTCCACCAGAGCAGGAACAGCGCATGACAGCAGCCTTCTCTTTACCAGGTGGAGCTGCTGGCCCAGGGGGACACGGTCTTCGACATCCTAGATGGGCGAGCGCACGAGGAGGTGCGCAAGAAGCTCCTCCTTGCCCAGGAGGAGCCCGGCAGGGGTAAGGGAGGCCACGGCTGGCGTCTCACAGACGCCGCTGCCCTGCTCTTGGCTCTTTGTGGCCAGAGCGCCAGGGCCAGTGGAGCTGGGGAGCCCCTGACCCGCTCTGGCCGCTCTGTTTCCCTGCAGAAGTCACGTTTGTGGGCGAGATGCGGACGTCCAAGGCCTTGAGGCTGCAGCACGGGGGGAATCAGGCCGTGGCAGTGCGTGGGCGCTTCACAGCCCTGCGCTGGCCGGCCTCCCCCTCCGCCACAGCCTTCCTGGCCCTCTGCACCCCCGTCGCACGGTTGCCTGCGGACGGTGACGCTGGTTCCCAGGACCACCTCTTCCAGAGCACCCACATGCTAGACATGACGTTTACCGACGTCACGGAGAGGTGAGGGGCGTCTGCTGGCATCACAGCCCCCTCAGACAGCACAGATCCTCTCCCTCCACCAAGCCCGCGTTTGGGATGCAGGCTGGACCCTGCATGAGCCACAAGACTCTCCCGGGCACTTCCCAAGCCTCTTCCCTCCCTGGGGGAACCCATTTCTGTACCCTTGTTGTTTTGTTCCCCCTTCTATTGTGCAACAGCTGCTCCTTGCTGACAAGGTGCATACCCTGCAAAGCACTCAGTCCCCCGCTCCCCTTGTCTTCTCCAGTGTCACCTACCACCTCGGCTACCGCAGGGAGGAACTGATCGGTCAGTCATGGTACAACCTCCTGCACCCCGAGGATGCTGACCTAGCGGCCGCCCAACACAGGGCCGTGGGTGAGTGTCAGGCCTGGGTGTCCTTCTCTGGCTAAACCTGAAACCTGGCTGTCCAGGACAATGTAAACAAAGTGAATTTAGTCCTGCCTGTTGTGGCTCCCTGCTCCAAAAAGGATGAAGCAGAGAACTGGTTGCACAGCCCATACCTCTATAATAGGGTCTCAAGTAGCTTCCAAGCTTGGGAACAGGGTCACCCTGCTTTGCCACAGCGCAGAGAGGAGGGATAAGACCGCTTGAGCCCTAGCTTTTTGAGAGGCAGGACTGTTACGGACCTGACTCCACCACCTGGGGCTTCTGTCTCACTGGGGCCACAGCAGCACAATGACTAAAACCCCAGCAGGGCAGCCTGTGGGTTCCACAGGCAGTGTGCCACCCTGCCCTGGCAACTGAGGCAGCTGTGCCCTGCCGCAGGCTAACGCGACCCCTTGCCCGCAGCATTTGGGGCTGGGGCCGCAGCAGAGACAGCAGTGCTGCGCCTGCTGCGCAGGGACCGGACCTGGGCCTGGCTCGGTGTGTTGGCGCAGCGGGACTGCAGGGACCACTCCATCACCTGCACCAGCCGCTGCCTCAGGTGAGGGCTCCAACAAGGAGAAGGACAGCACGGGGCTGTTCCCTGGGGGCCGTGCCCCTCACTCCCTCCGTATCCCCTGCAGGGAGGAGGAGGCGGCCTACCTACGTGCCCGACACCACCACAACAACCACCACCACCTCGCACTCTGCACCACCGCCCCGCCACTGCCGCCCGCACCTCCCGCCGCGGCCCCGCCGGCGGCCGGACTAGAGCTCAGCCTGCTGGCCGCCCAGCTCCGCGCCCTGGCCGACAGCCTCTCGCCGCCCCCCGCTGCCGCCGCTCCGGCCTGGCCCGGGCAGGAGGCCGCCATCTTCCCGCACGACGCCTCCTTGGCCTGTCTCCTAGGCAACGCGGCGGAAGGGGCGGGGCTTCTAGCCGCGCATGCGCCCTGCGCCTACTACCCGCACCAATAAAACGTTGGCTTTCTTCCCTTGTCAGCCTATCGGCTTCCGTTCTGTCTGCGCGTGCGCCGCCCCGCCCCGCCCCTTCCGGTCGCGTTGCTTTCCCTCAGGAGAGGTCTCCGGGCCCGGGAGCGTGAGGAGGGCGGACAGACCGACAGATAGATAGGCAGATAGATATGCGGCCGCGTCGGGCCCAGGCGGCGGGATGGAGAACAGCTGCCGTGGAGGAGGAGGAGGAAAAAGAGGAGGAAAAAGAGGAGGAGGCGGCCGTGGTGGTGCGGCCGGCGCTGCACCGGAGCGCGGCCTTGGAGCAGCCCCTCCGGAGGCTGGAGGCGGCGCAGGAGGCTGAGAGCTCCAGCGACAGTAGCGACAGCAGCGATAGTCCCCCGGCGGTGAGGACTGGGGGGAGAGGTAAGGGTAAGGACCCCCTACACCCCCCCCCCGGGTTGGGGATCGCCGGCTTTTCCCAGAGGGTGCTGCCCGGGAACTGACGGTAGATGAGGCAAGAGGTAGGAAGAAAGGGAAACAATCTATAAAATAAGGGAGGAAGGGGAGAAAAATGGCAGGAGGGATCGTGAAATGGGCTGTAGAGACGGCACAGAAATGGTAATTTGTATTCTGGAGTTGGTGAAAAAAATTTAAGTGTCAAGAAAGAACGTTAGAAACAAGGAAAGTACACTACTCCTGTCTTCTGATAGGTATTTTGGTGGAGAACCCATCAGCACAGATTTTAAGGGTCCCGAACTTCCCTCATGCAGAGGCTGTGGGTAGGACCAGCGCTTTCGAGCAGGAAACCAGCAGCCTTTTCACATGCACAGTTGCCAGACCCACTGCTCAGAAGTGAACACCTGCTGGGATCGTTCATTTCTGCCCCAAAACAGACTCTTTTTTTTTTTTTTTTTCTTGTGCTGATGAGAGATGTTTTTAATCCATGTGTGTGGCTAATTCAGTCTCCTGAAAAGAAGTAGTCAGATGTATTTCATGGCCTGATGCTACTGTGTGGAAAGCACTTTCCCCATTAGGTCTTGGGTAGTCAAGTCTGATCTGCTATCCTGTACCAGTATTGAAATATTTTGTCAGTGGAGGCTCTGCATGCCTTCTCTTTGTCTTATTTGTACCAAATCTCTTTCCTGCTCCTTTACTTAATCCTGCATCTTTTTTTAATATGGTGTCTTTATCTCATTTCCAAGGACATCTAGTAAGCCTTTGCTATTTTAAAGGTATTGTTTTGAAATTGCAGCTAAATGAAGGATTGTAATGCAAATGATGGTGTCTCATGTGTCTTGGTGAAATATTAGAGTGGCTTCCACATCGTTCTTCCTTTCCTCTAATGCTTCCTGGCCTTGCTCAGAGTCTTTTGTTTGCCTGCCCAGTGGTGCTATGAGCCTTCAGTGACACTGAAATATTGCCCTGTGTAGTGATTAATTGCTCTTTAGCCCAGTAACTTGTATAATTAGCATAGGGTAAGGGTGTCTGCGGGAGCCCACCCAAGAGAGGATGTCAAACTGCAGTAAGATAAATGGGAAGGGTGTTTTGGGGAAGCAGTGTAACGAAATAGTACCTTACATCCGAGCCGAGCTGCCCCGGCAGATGCCAGCCTGTGGCTCCAGCAGGCTCAGGGTGCCATCGGAAGGTCCACCAGAGCAGGAACAGCGCATGACAGCAGCCTTCTCTTTACCAGGTGGAGCTGCTGGCCCAGGGGGACACGGTCTTCGACATCCTAGATGGGCGAGCGCACGAGGAGGTGCGCAAGAAGCTCCTCCTTGCCCAGGAGGAGCCCGGCAGGGGTAAGGGAGGCCACGGCTGGCGTCTCACAGACGCCGCTGCCCTGCTCTTGGCTCTTTGTGGCCAGAGCGCCAGGGCCAGTGGAGCTGGGGAGCCCCTGACCCGCTCTGGCCGCTCTGTTTCCCTGCAGAAGTCACGTTTGTGGGCGAGATGCGGACGTCCAAGGCCTTGAGGCTGCAGCACGGGGGGAATCGGGCCGTGGCAGTGCGTGGGCGCTTCACGGCCCTGCGCTGGCCGGCCTCCCCCTCCGCCACAGCCTTCCTGGCCCTCTGCACCCCCGTCGCACGGTTGCCTGCGGACGGTGATGCTGGTTCCCAGGACCACCTCTTCCAGAGCACCCACATGCTAGACATGACGTTTACCGACGTCACGGAGAGGTGAGGGGCGTCTGCTGGCATCACAGCCCCCTCAGACAGCACAGATCCTCTCCCTCCACCAAGCCCGCGTTTGGGATGCAGGCTGGACCCTGCATGAGCCACAAGACTCTCCCGGGCACTTCCCAAGCCTCTTCCCTCCCTGGGGGAACCCATTTCTGTACCCTTGTTGTTTTGTTCCCCCTTCTATTGTGCAACAGCTGCTCCTTGCTGACAAGGTGCATACCCTGCAAAGCACTCAGTCCCCCGCTCCCCTTGTCTTCTCCAGTGTCACCTACCACCTCGGCTACCGCAGGGAGGAACTGATCGGTCAGTCATGGTACAACCTCCTGCACCCCGAGGATGCTGACCTAGCGGCCGCCCAGCACAGGGCCGTGGGTGAGTGTCAGGCCTGGGTGTCCTTCTCTGGCTAAACCTGAAACCTGGCTGTCCAGGACAATGTAAACAAAGTGAATTTAGTCCTGCCTGTTGTGGCTCCCTGCTCCAAAAAGGATGAAGCAGAGAACTGGTTGCACAGCCCATACCTCTATAATAGGGTCTCAAGTAGCTTCCAAGCTTGGGAACAGGGTCACCCTGCTTTGCCACAGCGCAGAGAGGAGGGATAAGACCGCTTGAGCCCTAGCTTTTTGAGAGGCAGGACTGTTACGGACCTGACTCCACCACCTGGGGCTTCTGTCTCACTGGGGCCACAGCAGCACAATGACTAAAACCCCAGCAGGGCAGCCTGTGGGTTCCACAGGCAGTGTGCCACCCTGCCCTGGCAACTGAGGCAGCTGTGCCCTGCCGCAGGCTAACGCGACCCCTTGCCCGCAGCATTTGGGGCTGGGGCCGCAGCAGAGACAGCAGTGCTGCGCCTGCTGCGCAGGGACCGGACCTGGGCCTGGCTCGGTGTGTTGGCGCAGCGGGACTGCAGGGACCACTCCATCACCTGCACCAGCCGCTGCCTCAGGTGAGGGCTCCAACAAGGAGAAGGACAGCACGGGGCTGTTCCCTGGGGGCCGTGCCCCTCACTCCCTCCGTATCCCCTGCAGGGAGGAGGAGGCGGCCTACCTACGTGCCCGACACCACCACAACAACCACCACCACCTCGCACTCTGCACCACCGCCCCGCCACTGCCGCCCGCACCTCCCGCCGCGGCCCCGCCGGCGGCCGGACTAGAGCTCAGCCTGCTGGCCGCCCAGCTCCGCGCCCTGGCCGACAGCCTCTCGCCGCCCCCCGCTGCCGCCGCTCCGGCCTGGCCCGGGCAGGAGGCCGCCATCTTCCCGCACGACGCCTCCTTGGCCTGTCTCCTAGGCAACGCGGCGGAAGGGGCGGGGCTTCTAGCCGCGCATGCGCCCTGCGCCTACTACCCGCACCAATAAAACGTTGGCTTTCTTCCCTTGTCAGCCTATCGGCTTCCGTTCTGTCTGCGCGTGCGCCGCCCCGCCCCGCCCCTTCCGGTCGCGTTGCTTTCCCTCAGGAGAGGTCTCCGGGCCCGGGAGCGTGAGGAGGGCGGACAGACCGACAGATAGATAGGCAGATAGATATGCGGCCGCGTCGGGCCCAGGCGGCGGGATGGAGAACAGCTGCCGTGGAGGAGGAGGAGGAAAAAGAGGAGGAAAAAGAGGAGGAGGCGGCCGTGGTGGTGCGGCCGGCGCTGCACCGGAGCGCGGCCTTGGAGCAGCCCCTCCGGAGGCTGGAGGCGGCGCAGGAGGCTGAGAGCTCCAGCGACAGTAGCGACAGCAGCGATAGTCCCCCGGCGGTGAGGACTGGGGGGAGAGGTAAGGGTAAGGACCCCCTCCCCCCCCCCCCGGGTTGGGGATCGCCGGCTTTTCCCAGAGGGTGCTGCCCGGGAACTGACGGTAGATGAGGCAAGAGGTAGGAAGAAAGGGAAACAATCTATAAAATAAGGGAGGAAGGGGAGAAAAATGGCAGGAGGGATCGTGAAATGGGCTGTAGAGACGGCACAGAAATGGTAATTTGTATTCTGGAGTTGGTGAAAAAAATTTAAGTGTCAAGAAAGAACGTTAGAAACAAGGAAAGTACACTACTCCTGTCTTCTGATAGGTATTTTGGTGGAGAACCCATCAGCACAGATTTTAAGGGTCCCGAACTCCCCTCATGCAGAGGCTGTGGGTAGGACCAGCGCTTTCGAGCAGGAAACCAGCAGCCTTTTCACATGCACAGTTGCCAGACCCACTGCTCAGAAGTGAACACCTGCTGGGATCGTTCATTTCTGCCCCAAAACAGACTCTTTTTTTTTTTTTTTTTCTTGTGCTGATGAGAGATGTTTTTAATCCATGTGTGTGGCTAATTCAGTCTCCTGAAAAGAAGTAGTCAGATGTATTTCATGGCCTGATGCTACTGTGTGGAAAGCACTTTCCCCATTAGGTCTTGGGTAGTCAAGTCTGATCTGCTATCCTGTACCAGTATTGAAATATTTTGTCAGTGGAGGCTCTGCATGCCTTCTCTTTGTCTTATTTGTACCAAATCTCTTTCCTGCTCCTTTACTTAATCCTGCATCTTTTTTTAATATGGTGTCTTTATCTCATTTCCAAGGACATCTAGTAAGCCTTTGCTATTTTAAAGGTATTGTTTTGAAATTGCAGCTAAATGAAGGATTGTAATGCAAATGATGGTGTCTCATGTGTCTTGGTGAAATATTAGAGTGGCTTCCACATCGTTCTTCCTTTCCTCTAATGCTTCCTGGCCTTGCTCAGAGTCTTTTGTTTGCCTGCCCAGTGGTGCTATGAGCCTTCAGTGACACTGAAATATTGCCCTGTGTAGTGATTAATTGCTCTTTAGCCCAGTAACTTGTATAATTAGCATAGGGTAAGGGTGTCTGCGGGAGCCCACCCAAGAGAGGATGTCAAACTGCAGTAAGATAAATGGGAAGGGTGTTTTGGGGAAGCAGTGTAACGAAATAGTACTGTGTTCATGTTTTCCTTTTTCCCTTGTGTGGCAAATTGTATGTGTCCCTTAATCCTCCTCACAGAACTAACGAGTGTCGACAGAGCAGTGTTCTTAGGTGTTCAGAACAAGCAAAAAGAAAATATTTTCTTGAGGCAGCGCTTGAATATACGCTTGTTATGTTTTTCTGGGTGATGTGACTGGATTCTGAAGCAGAAAGTCTCGGTTATTGCCAAGATGAGAGTGACTGAGATGATGAGTCCATGCTCTGAGTGAGGCAATGTGACTGACCTCACATTGCTTCCCAAATTTGGCAGCAGCTTTGGACAGAGCATCCAGAAATGGTGTGTTGTGGGGCAGCGTATTGAGTTTGCCTGGTGAGGTTTTGGGAGCAGGGGGTCTACAGGGCTTGCTTCTGTGAGAAAATGCCAGGAGCTTGCCCTGAGTCTCATCATCTCAGTCTTGACCAGGGGCTCTATCAGTAATGGTGGCAGCACCTCCGTGATAATGTTTTTAAGAAGAGTGGGAGGGAACTGCTGCAGAACAGCAGCCAGAAGAGTGGAACGAGAACATGTGAGGAAAACCAACTCTGCAGACACCAAAGTCGGTGAAGAAGCCGGGGGAGGAGGAGGTGCTCCAGGCAGTAGAGCAGAAAATTCTCCTGAAGGCCATGCTGAGGCAAACTGTGCCCCTGGACCAGGCTCCTGGCAGGACCTGTGGCCCCTTCATGCTGAGGCAAACTGTGCCCCTGGATCAGGCTCCTGGCAGGACCTGTGGCCCCTGTAGAGAGAGGAGCTCATGGTGGAGCAGTTTTGCTGGTGGGACCCATGACCCTGTGGGGGGACCCACACTGGAGCAGTCTGTTCCTGAAGGACTGCACCCCACGGAAGGGACACAGGCTGGGGCAGTTCTCGAAGAACTGTAGCCTGTGGGAAGGAGACCCACGTTGGAGGAGTTCATGAAGGGCTGTCTGTCGTGGGAGGGAGCCCATGCTTGGAGCAGGGGAAGAGACAACCTGTGATGAACTGACCACAACTCCCCTTCCCTGCACTGCTCAGGGGGCTGGGTGGGGGGAGGTAGAGAAATCAGGAGTCAAGTTGAGCCTAGGAAGAAGGTGGGGCAGACATGAAGGTATCTTTAAGATTTGGGTTTTAGAATCATAGAATGGTTAGACCGTGGGAGGGAGCCCACGCTTGGACAACCTGTGATGAACTGACCACAACTCCCCTTCCCTGCACTGCTCAGGGGGCTGGGTGGGGGGAGGTAGAGAAATCAGGAGTCAAGTTGAGCCTAGGAAGAAGGTGGGGCAGACATGAAGGTATCTTTAAGATTTGGGTTTTAGAAGTGGGGGGGAGGTAGAAAAATCAGGAGTCAAGTTGAGTCTAGGAAGAAGGTGGGGCAGAGGTGAAGGTATCTTTAAGATTTGGGTTTTAGAATCATAGAATGGTTAGAGAGTGGAAGGGACCTTAAAGGTCATTGAGTTCCAGCCCCCCTGCCCTGGGCAGGGACACCTCCCACCAGACCAGGTTGCTCCAAGCCCCATCCAGCCTGGCCTTGAACCCCTCCAGGGATGGGGGATCCACAACGTCCCTGGGCAACCTGTTCCAGGGGTTCACCACCCCCACAGCAAAGAATTTCTTTCTGGTATCTAATCTAAATCTCCCCTCTTCTAATTTAAAACCGTTCCCCCTTGTCCTGTCACTGCACTCCCTGACAAAGAGTCCCTCCCCAGCTCTCCTGTAGCTCCCTTCAGATCTTGGAAGGCTGCTCCAAGGTCTCCCCGGAGCCTTCTCTTCTCCAGGCTGAACAACCCCAGCTCTCTCAGCCTGTTTTATTTCTCATTACCCCACTGTGATTTGATTGCTAAAAACTTAAATGAATTTTCCCCAAGACAGGCCTCTTTTGCCCATGACAGTAATTGGTGAGTGATCTCTCCCTGTCCTTATCTCACCCCGTGAGCCTTCCCTTATATTTTCTCTCCCTCTGTCTGGCTGAGGAGGGGAGTGATAGAGTAGCTTTTGGTGTCTAGCCAGGGTCAACCCACCGTGGGCAGGATGTGATTGGTTTTGCTGGGCCACAGCTGAGTGTTTTGTGCTAAAAGCATGATATTGCAAAGCCTCAGAGAGACCGTGTGCCTGTGGCTGCTCAGGGGTGCTGAGCAGGCCATTGCCACCCAAGGTGGTGCTTGCCAAGACTTCCCTTCAGAAGGGAGCCCCCGTGAGCCTTCCCTTATATTTTCTCTCCCTCTGTCTGGCTGAGGAGGGGAGTGATAGAGTAGCTTTTGGTGTCTAGCCAGGGTCAACCCACCGTGGGCAGGATGTGATTGGTTTTGCTGGGCCACAGCTGAGTGTTTTGTGCTAAAAGCATGATATTGCAAAGCCTCAGAGAGACCGTGTGCCTGTGGCTGCTCAGGGGTGCTGAGCAGGCCATTGCCACCCAAGGTGGTGCTTGCCAAGACTTCCCTTCAGAAGGGAGCCAAGACAAACCCTTCTGGTCCTTCTTGCCCCTGCCATTATCCAGAGAATGGAATGAGCGTGTCCAAGTGCTGCCTTAAGAAATGTTTTCTGATTGCTAGTCCTGAACACCCAGAGGTGTAAATCCAGAAAGCCTTGTGGATGATGTTTTTAAGTTGTGGTTATCAGAAGAGTTAAAGATTACTGTCACTGGGAAATACTAAAGAAACGTAACAACAGAAAATTCCAGAGAATATCTTGTGCGTTCATCAGCACATTGGATAGAATTGATTTTTGCTTATTTCTTTTGTTGTTTGTGTTGGTCTTCTAGTGGGCAGTCAGAGGAGAAAAGGAGTATTTGCTGAAACACAAGGTGGTGGGGAGCTCACGGCAGGGCTGGAATATGAAACTGCTTTTTGCTGTTGTGGAGTTCTGTTCTTCCCCCAGTGACTCAGGCTATAGGCTATTCCTATAGCTATTCTCATAGCTATAGTGAGATGGTGAAGGTTGAATGTCTGGATTTGGGTAGTTTGCAGGCGTTCTGGGGTGCTGAGGAGGTTCTGCTGTGGCTATTGCTTTGTTCCAGACTGAGCTGAGCTGTGATGGATGTGCAGTGGGGGGAGACTGTCTCTGAATCTTAACAGACAGATTGAACAGTCCACATGGTTTTCCTGGACCTTCTGGCTGGTCTCGTGGTGTGAGGGATGTGATGATTTAAAGGTGATGGAACAAGAACAGTCTGTTAAAGTGAAAGAGACGGAGATATGACCTCTCAGAATTTGCAGTGGGGCCAAAGCGTAGCCCCGCGCAGAGCTCGTGCTGCTCTTTGTGCCAGATAAAAACTTTGAACTTGTTCTTGTGCGTGCTGCTGAGTGGGGAGAAAAGCAAAGACAGGTTGAGGGGAAAGCAAAGAGAGAGGGCGACTATTGTAGTGCTCAAGACTGCAGTGATTAATGAGGGAGAAATCAAAGGCTGAGAGATGCAGCGGCTTCTTTCTGTCATCCAGTTGTATAGGGCTGGCACCACCGTGCTTGTGTCTTTGTCTCAGTCTCTGAGACTTCCCTTTTGGGGGAATTTGAGGGTGGGAAGTGCCTCGAGAATCTCTTTGGTTCAAGTGTGTCCTGTGATCTCTTCCAGATCAATCTGACATGTCTTTTGAGGAGCTACTGCGGATGCAGAGTGATATGAGAACGAGACGGGTCAAGCAGGCGACCAGTGGGAAGAAAACTGCAAAACCTCCCAAAGCCACGGCGAAGCAGCAACAAGACAAAAAAGGGTAAAGGAGATTCTTTTTGTGATCAGAAAAATGTGCATGTGAGCTTTCTGTGCTCCAGAAGCTGTGCCGGGAGCTCCTGGCAGTGTTGCTCTTGCCTTGGAGCTGCTGTAGATCTCCTTTAATGCACTACACAATAATGCCTTTCGCTAGAGTGTTTCATTTGGGAATGGTCTGTTGCTGCTTTAAAGCTCTTAATGGCCTATCCTGTTCCACTCCCCAGCAGCCCTCTGTTACTCCATAGTTAAATGGGCACTCAATTCCTTTACACCCTCTGTGTTAAGGCACTTCTAACCCACGGCATACTACTCTTTTAAGCTGTAGGATAGTGCTTTACTTGTGTCCCCTGGGCCCTGCAATAGTTCCCCTGCAGTTTTCTGAACCCCTTCCAGCTTATCATCACCTTCTGCCTGGCTCCCACTGGCTGGGGTTGCGGTGACCGCAGTTGTTCTGGAATTTTATTAATCCTTCTGCTATTGTCTCATCTGTGGTTTGTCTGTGTTGATTTTCCTTTTAGCCCCCTTCTATGGTGCTTACAGATTTATTTTTTTTCCTGTCCTCAGTAGTCTTTACACCTCCTATTTGCATACTCTGTGGTTGTCTCATCTGTGGCTTGTCTGTGTTGATTTTCCTTTTTGCCCCCTTCTATGGTGCTTACAGATTTTTTTTTCCTGTCCTCGGTGGTCTTTACACCTCCTATTTGCATACTCTGTGCTATTGATGTGGTGACTATAAAATGTGTTCAACGCAACAAAAGCTATGAGATCTTTTTACAGGCCCCCACTGGTAACAGCTATTACACCATTACCCTTTATTGGCAGGAGTTAGCTGCTTTTTCAGTCCACAGAGTTGTATCTAAGTGATTTGGACAGGTTTCCTCTGTTACCCTGGCATCCCTAACCTATTTCTGAATCTCCCCTGAATACATGTTTTTCTGCTGTAAACAGTTGACTAGAATAATGTTTCTGCTTTACCTTTTACCCACGAGTCCGGGGGATTTTGTGTAGTGCAACATCTTCACGTAGTGTCTCTATTTCTGCCACACAGTTTGCATAATTCTGTTTTTTAATTCCCCTAATCCTTTAAGTGATGCATCGCTGTAAATCCCACATGCTGTTTCGCTCACGCTTTTGTTATGGAATTGAGCTTCTTAAAAGAAAGACTTCAGGGAAATCCCCCAGAACTGAGCTGGCATCAGTGATACCACTCGAGAGCATCGTCCGGGAGTGAAGCCACATCAGGGGACACGAAAACACACTGAACGCTGCCCTGAGTGGGATTTGGAGAATTTACTTATGCCTGTGGGATTGTTTATGTGCCAGCCCAGGTGTTAGTGTGTTGCTGAACGTGGGTGTGATCTTTGCACGGTGGGGCACTCCCAGTGGGTGGTTCACAGCTCTTTTTGTGTTTCGAATAACTTACCTTATGTACTTACACATCGCAGGACACCGCATCTAAGTAAAATGGGGAGAGTAAAAGCCCCATTCTCCCACCTTATTCTATCCCTTTCTTCCACCTAAAGCATCAAGCTCCTTGCCTGTGTTGCAAAGGAGAACTTGTTCACCCCATTGGTTGTTACTGTGGTCCTCACGAGACTTCACAGTGAATCAGGACCTTTTTGGGGTAGGTACCATAAGCTGTACAGCCCTTATTCCTGGGGGGCTGACCTCTTCTTTACTTGTGTTGTGGTGTCCTGTCTCTGTAACTACCAGCTCGGTGCAGAGATTCCTGACTTTGGTCTTGCCTTTCGGTGTAAGTATTAGCCAAGAGTTGGTGGGCCAGAAATAGAAGGGGGTTGTTGCGTGATGAATGAAAACATGGAGAAGGGAGAAGAATAACTGAGTATGGCTCATCTACTGAGGTGGGTTTCCACTTGATACGGTGGGGCTGTATCAAGTTTTGTGGATCATTTGCCTGTAGTAGCCTTGTCTGGCTCTTGACCAAGTCGCCTCTTCGCACCATGATACACACTGACATCAGATTGAGTGGGAGAGTCTGCCGATTCAGCACTGTGGAGTAGTGTTCTCCTGAGGGTCTGGCTAACCTCCTGACACGTTAACCTGGGCCTCCTTCTGCCCTCTGCTCCTCTTAAGTACCTCGTTTTCTCTTTTTTCAGGCCGTTGGAGATGTCTGCCAAGAAGCCCGTACCTTTTCTGAGACAAGTCGTCTCCGTTAGAAAGCAGGTGGGTGCTCCCCTTCCCCAGTTCAGGACCTGACTTCCCTTAGCAATGCTATTTGGGCACGGACATGGGAACGGGGCTGCTGAAGGTGACACAGGCTCTTCCCAGAGGATAGGGCTTGGGCCACTGTCTGGTGTCCATCTAGTTTCTAACCTGAATATAACTTTTGACTTTACGTTGCTGGATCATCTCAATATGGTAATTTCCACAGTTAGAGATTTTTTTTCTTTTGTGTCTCCCTTTTTGTATGACCTGACCCAGGTAACCTGAAAATCTAGATAGGTTTGAATTCCCAAATCCAACACGGTGACCACAGCCGTTCATCTGGCTCTTGGCCTGGGAGTTGGAGGTGTTTGGAAGCAGGGCTCACGCTGCTCTCCCTTGCATCTGCTGCTCCTGGGTGGTAGGCTTGCAGATGGGCAGGACGCAGGTGTGGGACTGCCACCTTGATTAGTGGCCTCAGTCTTTGCCAGCTGCAGATGTCTTCCGTGGTGGATAGGTAATACAGCTAGTAAAAAATAAAAAATAAAAAAAAATATGCAAGGTGTGATCCATGAGAGTAAGCAGGCTATTAATGGGGTAATCCTGGCCACAGCTCATACCTTCGCCTTCGCTGCCTTCAGGTCCAGAGAGACCCTCGATTTGATGACCTGTCTGGAGAGTATAATCCTGAAATATTTATGAAGACCTACAGCTTCCTGGACAGCATCAAGAAGCAGGAGAAGGAGGTGATGCCGCGTGCCCGTCCTTGGCCCTGAGAACCTTGCTTGGCAGGGGCAACTCCCCCGAAGGCCTTTGGCAGTGAAGGCAGCAGGCAGGCGGTCATGCAGCTTTCTGCTCTCTTCTTCAGATGGTTCAGAAGCAGCTGAAAAAATGCAGGAATGAGGAGCAGAAGGAGAAACTCCAGCAGCTCCTGAACCGCATGGTGAGTTCGGTGCGACATCTCCCCTCCTGTGAGGCAACGCGCTAGGAGAGAGGGATGTGTGAACTGATGCCTGCCTGGAGGCTTGCTGACACACAGGCCATCCTTTCTGTACAGACACAGCAAGAACAGGCGCAGAAAAAACAGCAGCAAAGGAGGGAGAGGGAGCTGTTTTTGAAGAGACAACAGAGGGAATTGGCCAAGCAGGGAAAGAAACCCTTCTTCCTAAAGAAATGTAAGTACTCGGTGTGAACGTGCTGCGGGATGGCCTACAGGGGGGTCCTGCTGACAGGACTCCAAGCGCTGGAACCGAGTTGTCCATAATATTCCCCAGAGCTGTGGAAGGATTGTCCTAGTGCTGGCACTCGAGGGATGAGCCAGGGAGGGAGGGAGGGGTGAGAAGGGGCTGGTCTGTAGAGATGATTTGGGCTTCAGTTTTAAAAACCTTGCCTCCCCTCTTCCCTACAGCCGAGAAGCGGAAACTGGAGCTCGCTGAGAAGTATGCGGAGCTCAAGAGGAGTGGAAAGCTGGAGAGCTTCCTCAGCAAGAAGAGGAAGAGAAACGCCATCAAAGACAAGCGCCGTCTGCCCTCACAGAAGGACTGGTGACTGCTGGACAGACATGCTGTTGTCTGGCACGGGGCCTCGCTCTGCCCTGGCCAGGCCTGGAAGGTGGCCATCCCTCTTCCCCCTATCTGCCTCTCACCGCACAGCGATGCTGTTGGGCAGCCGAGCAGAGGCTGAACTGAAGGAAATAGCGCTTCTTGTAGCTGAAATGTCCTCTTCACTTGCAGTTTACACCACGTCTGGGTGGTGACAAGTCTGTCGTGCAGATGCACGTGGTGTTGACAGCTGTCTCTGTCCTTGCACCTGCTCGTCTCTTCCTCCGTGGTGGATAGGTAATACAGCTAGTAAAAAATAAAAAATAAAAAAAAATATGCAAGGTGTGATCCATGAGAGTAAGCAGGCTATTAATGGGGTAATCCTGGCCACAGCTCATACCTTCGCCTTCGCTGCCTTCAGGTCCAGAGAGACCCTCGATTTGATGACCTGTCTGGAGAGTATAATCCTGAAATATTTATGAAGACCTACAGCTTCCTGGACAGCATCAAGAAGCAGGAGAAGGAGGTGATGCCGCGTGCCCGTCCTTGGCCCTGAGAACCTTGCTTGGCAGGGGCAACTCCCCCGAAGGCCTTTGGCAGTGAAGGCAGCAGGCAGGCGGTCATGCAGCTTTCTGCTCTCTTCTTCAGATGGTTCAGAAGCAGCTGAAAAAATGCAGGAATGAGGAGCAGAAGGAGAAACTCCAGCAGCTCCTGAACCGCATGGTGAGTTCGGTGCGACATCTCCCCTCCTGTGAGGCAACGCGCTAGGAGAGAGGGATGTGTGAACTGATGCCTGCCTGGAGGCTTGCTGACACACAGGCCATCCTTTCTGTACAGACACAGCAAGAACAGGAGCAGAAAAAACAGCAGCAAAGGAGGGAGAGGGAGCTGTTTTTGAAGAGACAACAGAGGGAATTGGCCAAGCAGGGAAAGAAACCCTTCTTCCTAAAGAAATGTAAGTACTCGGTGTGAACGTGCTGCGGGATGGCCTACAGGGGGGTCCTGCTGACAGGACTCCAAGCGCTGGAACCGAGTTGTCCATAATATTCCCCAGAGCTGTGGAAGGATTGTCCTAGTGCTGGCACTCGAGGGATGAGCCAGGGAGGGAGGGAGGGGTGAGAAGGGGCTGGTCTGTAGAGATGATTTGGGCTTCAGTTTTAAAAACCTTGCCTCCCCTCTTCCCTACAGCCGAGAAGCGGAAACTGGAGCTCGCTGAGAAGTATGCGGAGCTCAAGAGGAGTGGAAAGCTGGAGAGCTTCCTCAGCAAGAAGAGGAAGAGAAACGCCATCAAAGACAAGCGCCGTCTGCCCTCACAGAAGGACTGGTGACTGCTGGACAGACATGCTGTTGTCTGGCATGGGGCCTCGCTCTGCCCTGGCCAGGCCTGGAAGGTGGCCATCCCTCTTCCCCCTATCTGCCTCTCACCGCACAGCGATGCTGTTGGGCAGCCGAGCAGAGGCTGAACTGAAGGAAATAGCGCTTCTTGTAGCTGAAATGTCCTCTTCACTTGCAGTTTACACCACGTCTGGGTGGTGACAAGTCTGTCGTGTAGATGCACGTGGTGTTGACAGCTGTCTCTGTCCTTGCACCTGCTCGTCTCTTCCTCTAGCGACGGGAGCAGGAGCCCTGCTCTGTGTCGCTGCCTCTCCTGCAGGTCTTCTCAGACACCAACTGAGGTGGGAAAGGACCTCAGGTGGGAGGGCTCTGGTTGCAGTGCCTGCTCTGAGCAGGGCTAGCACTGACTTCAGACCAGGTTGCCCAGGGCTTCTTCAGTTGGGTCTGGCAATGTCCAAGGACAAACATTGCCACTTCTCTTGGTCTCTCCTCCACTGCTTCAGGTTCTCAAGATGAAAACTATTCTTTTCTTTGTTTTTTTTCCCTCCTCCGGGAAACCTGGCTGGGTTTAGTCCATAATCACTGTCTTGTTCTCAGTGAAGTGCCTGGCTCTGTCTTCTCAGTAGCCTTGTCGTAGGTCTAGGGGGGTGGGTGGGAAGGGGTGCTCTTAGGTCTCCCCTTTCTGAGGGTGAATAAACCCTGCTCCAGTGCTCCAACCTTCTGACAACTGTCACATCCTCAACTGCTGGAGTCAGCCCAGAGGACCAACATCTATCTTCCTGGAGGTCCAGCCTGGGATGTGGTACCTGGGTGTAGTCTCCCAGGTACTGAGTAACGGGAGGGAGGAGCGTGGGCTGTGTCCTGGTGGGGCTGCCCTTCCTCACAGCCAGGGTCTCCCCTTTCTGAGGGTGAATAAACCCTGCTCCAGTGCTCCAACCTTCTGACAACTGTCACATCCTCAACTGCTGGAGTCAGCCCAGAGGACCAACATCTATCTTCCTGGAGGTCCAGCCTGGGATGTGGTACCTGGGTGTAGTCTCCCAGGTACTGAGTAACGGGAGGGAGGAGCGTGGGCTGTGTCCTGGTGGGGCTGCCCTTCCTCACAGCCAGGTTCTGCCGCTCTGCAGTGGGGCTGCCTCTCTGCCTGGCTTCTCAGGATGGTCTCTCCAGGGCTGTTAGTGCTTCTAGGAAACCGATTTGGTATGAAATAAAATACCTTAAGTTTTCCTTTATTCCCCTTCTTGGTGCTGTTACAGTCAAAAGTGTTTGTATTTACAGGAGTTATTTCTCCACCAGCTCTCTTGTTTCTCCTCGCTCCCGACTGCCCGTCTCCTGTGGCTCTGCTGGCGAGGAGGGGACAGGGACATGACCCAGGAGATCTCTCTCTGACAGGTCAGAGCGTTGTGCTGGGGGGAGAAAATGGTGCCTCGGGCTCCCCAGGGCAGAGTGCTCCCTGGGCACAGCCGTGCTATGGGGCAGCTGCTGTGTGGGGCCTGGGGAAGGGCCTTGCAATGAGCAAGAAGAGGGAACGATGAGCAACTCCATCACGCCCACCGGAGGGTGTTGCTGAAGCATCTGCCTCCGCTTGCAGTTCCTGTGGGTGAAGCGAGTTCTGCTCTGCTGACGGGTTTGTTTGTAACTGGGGGGAGGCAGTAGGAGCGGGATGCGCCAGCTTGGCTGGAGACCAGCATGGAAACCCTCCGCTGCCTTCAGCCTCCCCGTGGCTCCGTCCTCCTCTTCTTGCCCGATGATGTGGGACACGGAGCCTGCTGCGTCCCTGTGGTACCTTTCAGAGGAGTGGCCTCGGGAGCAGTGTGGCAGCACCAAAGCCCAGCCTGACCCCTTTGTGGCAGTGGTTTGCTGTCTCGTGGTCTCGATTTTTTTAATCCAGAGCTGAACAAACCTCCACCTGTAGTTTAATGCAAGAAGGGAAGGAGGTTGGGGCTGGGAGAGGCTCACCCCCCTGTCACTGCTGCCAGGGCCTTGCTGTGGGGCCATTCTGGAGTCCACATGTCCCCATCCCCAGCTGTGGGTAGGACCTGCCCAGCAGGGAGCAACACGGTGCCCCCCTCGAGTGGTCCTGTCTTCCCCTCCTGCCCATCTGGAGCCAAATGGCTCCTTCCTGCTGAGGCCCGCATGCCTGTCTGCAAGGAGGACATCCTTGCTGGGGTGTCACCTGCTTCTGAGGAACACCTATGGCCTCAGCGCGTGTGGAGGCTTTGTCAAGTCAGGGGGAAGCCCTGGGGCATTGCCCAGTTTAGACAATCTCGTGGTGACACGGGGCGTTGGGGCAGGTGGCAGCATGGCAACACCAGCTCCAACAGGAGGAGGTGCTTCCAACATCTCCAGAGCTTTCTACTGCTGGGGGGGAGCTGCTCTTCCCAGTTGCCTCCCAGCCCTAAGGAGTCAGTTGGGTTATTTTCCTTCAGTTTCTACTTCTGTCCCAGCAGTGTGGCTCTGCCAGACCTACTCTGGTGTCCCTCCAGGTGGAGCGTGGGGGTGTGCTGTGGGTGTCCCTGGGGGAGGGCACCAGTTGATGTCCCTGCAGCTGGTTGCACAGACAAAGCTTCCACACGTAACCCCCAGCCCAGTGACACCCTCGGAGCCCACAAGACACTCACAAGGACCTTCCTCTCCTCTCCCAGCTGCTGGGCAGGAGGAATGGCTTCAGACCCAGGTGACAGCCTGGGATACTGTCACCGAGCGAGTCCCCCACCGCAGATGTGTCCCAGGCACCCATGGGAGCTGGGGGGACCTGCCTGCTGGCAGGGACACAGACAGGAAGGAGGCTGCAGGGCTCAGGTCTTTTATTGCAAAGAGGGAGATACGAAAAAAGGACAGTCACCCCCTCTTGTTGTCCCCACCCCGGGCTTGCAGCTGGCTGAGGGGTGACAGGCAGGGGGAGGTCCGGCCCTTGCTCCCCCAGCTCAGGCAGTGAGGAGCAGGCTGCTGCCAAGCACCGAGTGAGAGCCAGACCCCACCCCAAATGTAGGGCAGGTGACCCCCCCCGGTGTCCCCACGCAGCCACCATGGCCTGAGCCCTGGCTGGCCAGAGGGCAGTGCTGCGTGGGGGGAGCCCGCCTGGCCCCAGCCAGACGTGGCATGTGGCGTGGCCTCCTCCTCTTCCTCCACTCCGCTGCCCGTCTCGCTCGGTGGGGTGCCGAGGTCCCAAACTGCTCTGTGACCTTACGGAGGCTGCGATGGGGGACCCCCGCCACGCCATGGCCCTTGGGGACCAGAGCAGCTTTGCCCAGGGAGGGGAGGGAGCAGGGTGGTTGCCCTCTGTCCAGGAGGAGAGCTCAGCAGCCCACCTCGGGTTTGCAGGTACGGCCAGGCGTGGTGGTGCCCAGGCTGTGGCTCCTGCTGGCTTGTCACGTGTTGTCCTGGGCCAGCTCCTCAGGGCAGGCAGGCTGATCCCGGGATTTGTGGAGCCCTGGGGAGGGCTGGGCCTGGGAGCTGTGAGGTAGGGCCGGATCCGGCCCCGGGGGAGTGTGGTGCCGGTGCCGTTGGTACTGCACAAAGGTACAGACCTTCAGCCCAATGGCCAGCATGTTCTTGCCCATGAAGATGCTGGAGACCCGGGCGTCCCTGAAGAAGATCATGTTGCTGCCTCGGATGAAGATGGTGGTGATGTTGACAGTGAGCATGCTCAGCATGGGGTACAGCATCATCCGGTGCGGCATGATGCCGATCCCTTGCATGCTGATCTCACAGAGGGACACGCAAGGGAGGACCAGGAGCAAGATGTAGCAGTAGAAGAACATGATGCCCTCAGCCCAGAGGGGCAGCCCCTTCTTTTGGGGCTCCCACAGGTTAGCCTGGATGTCCAGCACGTCCAGCATGTCCACAATGACCCAGAAGAGGCGGTTTCGGAGATCTTCTTTCTTCTTGAATGTCCTGACATACTCCATGTGCTCCGTGGCCACCAACAAGACGTAGAGGGCTGGGATGCAGATGGAGAGCAGCAAGGTCAGCGCTTTGCGGGCTATGAGATCCAGGCTTTTCCGGTCAGCTTTATAGTTCTGGTACACAAAGTAGACTTTGATCTCCAGAACGAAGACATACAGGAACCAGAGGATCATGGCGTAGCCCCGCTTAGCTGTCTTTACCTCCGCCCCGACCCAGATGGCCACGTAGCGGAGCACCAGCAGGAAGCACAAGTCACCCATTGCCACCATGACACAGACGCCCAGCTTCCTGGAGCCCTGGCTCTGCTCCACCAGGTAGGCGTCCATGAGGACGAGGCTAGTCATGATGAGCACAGTGGAGAGGCACACGTGGGGCTTGCTGACGGGTGGTGGGGGAACCATCCTGCATGGAGGAACAGGCAGGGTTGTCAGGGAGTTGCTGGGATTCCCCATCCCTACTTTTGTGCCCCCTTCTATTCCTCCCACCTCCCCCAACAACTGCGGGTGGCTGAAAGAAGGTGGTGGGGAGGGGGTTTCATAGACTCTTCTCCTATTTTGTGTACCTGGTTTGTTCAAAACCTTCAGATTCCTAGCTGAAGTGCTGCTGAGGCTGTTGGCCAGGCCATCCTGGTGGCACATGCTGGTTGAAACCCAGCTGCACGTGGGGACACGGTGGGGCAGGCTGGGCAGCCTTAAAGCACTTGGGGTGCTACTGCCTTTTCCAGTAGCTCATCACGCTGGTCAATCTCTGCTACCGTGATGGATATATGCCTTATTTTCCATGGGATGTCCCAGCCAGTGGCACTGGGTATGTTCTCCACCCCACGGCACGCAAGACCATATCTATGCTTTTAAACCAAACGGGTCCTTAACTGCTACGATCCGGGACCGCTCTCTTTTTAGTCTCCTTTATTTTCATGCACAGCATGAGGCAACGGATTATTTTTAGCCCGGCTGTCCTGTTGGGGTGGGAGGGAAGAAATCAGCCCAACATCTTCAGCTTCCTTCAGCCTGGCTCTCCCCACACGAGCTGTGCCTACAGCCCTTTGCCCGTGCCCACCCTGCCCCAGCACCAAAAGCGAGGGGGGGGGGGAAAAGCCGTACCAGCCCCACAGCTCCCGGGGCACGAGGAGGTCTGCAACAGGCCCCTCAATTTCAGCTGGATGCTCAAGCAGGGTCCCCAAAAGGACCCCCGCCTGCTTTGGGATGGCACCGGGGGCTGTCAGATTCCCTCCCCTCTGGCCAAGCACAGCTGCGGGCAGCCACTGCCAGAGCCGGAGGGAGGCCGGGAGTCGGGGCCTCACCAGGCGAGGGCTCGGCAGCTGCTCTGGAGGGGAGCCAGCCCCCCGGGCTGAAATGGAGGATGGAGCTGGCCTTGCTGACTGTGTGGGCACGGCGCTGCACCCTCAGCTGCCTGCGCACGAGCCCGCTCACCCACACCTGGGCCGTGCCTGGGGTCCCGGGATGCCATCCCGCTCACCCGGCGGTGATGCTTGACCGTAGAGCGGGATGGCGACCGTGGGGTTTAACGGGCTGGCGCTGACACAGGGCCCCTGGGCACAAGCCACCTGAGCTCCTGTTTTTTGGGCAGGGGGGTGTCCGGGCAGCCACTGCCAGAGCCGGAGGGAGGCCGGGAGTCGGGGCCTCACCAGGCGAGGGCTCGGCAGCTGCTCTGGAGGGGAGCCAGCCCCCCGGGCTGAAATGGAGGATGGAGCTGGCCTTGCTGACTGTGTGGGCACGGCGCTGCACCCTCAGCTGCCTGCGCACGAGCCCGCTCACCCACACCTGGGCCGTGCCTGGGGTCCCGGGATGCCATCCCGCTCACCCGGCGGTGATGCTTGACCGTAGAGCGGGATGGCGACCGTGGGGTTTAACGGGCCAGCGTGGACACAGGGCCCCTGGGCACAAGCCACCAGAGCTCCTGTTTTTTGGGCAGGGGGGTGTCCCACACAGTCCTGCATCCCCAGGTCCAGAGCCATCCTGGCATGTTGGGGGAGGCAGCGAAGCCCGAGCCTGCCAGCCCCGGGTGCCTCTTTAGAGGAGGCCATCAGGCGGGCACGGGGGAAGGGCTGGATGTGGCACATCTGGAGTGTCCTACACAGCTGGGGGTGGGGGGGGCAGGGGGGGGTCTTCCCTGCGTGTCACCCTCTCGGCCTCACCAAGCCCTTGGAGCCCCACCTGACGAACCGGGGCTTGGCCGGTCCCCGGGCTCGGGGCGGGGGGAGTCACCCCGCTCTCTGCCTAGTAACCTCCGGTCCTCCCGCTTCCCTCCGGTCTCCATCAGCTCCCGTCCCGGGGACACATCCTGCACCCCCCCCGCGCCTCCAGCCACCCTTACCCCCCCTCGGCTTCCTCCCCCCTGTCCCTAAATCCAGACACCCCCCCACCCCCAGGGCCATGGGTGCTCCTTGTCGCAGCTCAGGAGGGGTCCCAGCAAAATCTGGGGCACCCAGGGAAGCCTGGGTCTGGCAAGGGTCCTGCCCACCAGGAGGGGACTGGGACCCCCCGTCCCCCCAGTCGGTGGGGCCCCAGAGAGCTCCAGCTCCACTGGTAGAACTTGTGTGGAGATAAAGCAGGCCAGCGAAGGCAAAAGGTTCCCCTTGGCCTGGTGGACATCCCTCTGAGCTTTTTCCTAATTGATTTAGGTCTTAGCTACACAAGGAAGGTTTCCCAGGGTATCCCCACTCTGAGTTTGAAATGTTTATTGTAAATATCTATGTATTTGGGAAGATTGGGAGGCGCTGGGATCTCTGGAACGGGGCTAAGAGCAAAACCAGGCGTAGACCCGAGTGAGAGGCCAAGCGCCAGTCAGAGTTACCGAGTGCCAGGAGAAGCAAAAGCCACCTCACCTCCAGCTGTGACAGGGTGGCCATAAGTCCCCTGGTGTATCTGATGCCCTGGGGCATCTTGGGTGGCACCAGGGAGGTGTAAATCCCACCCGCAGTGACCGTGGCAAATGGAGACAACGAACCAGCATCCGGGCTCAGCTCCCGTGTCTCCCGGTGAGCGTGGGGTTGGTTTGCGCAGGCAGGTGGAGGGCCTCCGTTGCTCTGGGTTAGAGAGGTGCAACAAGTCCAAGAGTTTGGCTGTGGGATCGTTCTCCTAACCTGGGGAAAAAAAAAAAAAGCAGCGTGCTCCAGAAGGGCTGAAAGAGAGGAGAAACAAAGCAGCCAAAATAACCTGCCCCTGAAAAGGCAAGGAGACCTTGCAAGCCGAGCTGAGCGGGGAGCACTGTGAGGCATGAGGGGGGAAGCCACCACAGAAACAAACCCTCGATCTTTCTTGCTGGATGCAGAAGGGCCAGTTCTCACCCAGGATCGGGGCAGACTTTTATAGGCTGTAGAGAAGAGGCAAAAGGTCCACGGAGGCACCCAGGGGGTGATCACTGAGGTACCCACGTGGCAGAGAGAGGTGCTGGAGGCAGCTACCACGCAGTGGGGCTAAAGGCAAGATGATTCATCCCCGGGCTGGATTCATAAAACCCTTGAATCTTCACTAGAGGCTGGGACAGGAGGTGACAACATTCGCGTGGGAAGCAGCAAAGAGCTGCTTTAACGAGGCACATAAAAATAAGCAACCAAAGACCAGATACTTAACGTGCTTCTCTAAAAGGTGATGCTGGAACCAAGGTGCCAGAGTTCGCATGTGGCTGCAGCTGTGATCAGAGACGAAATGGAATGGAAGTGAAGAGGGGGCACACCAGGGGTCCCGGGCAGATGGCTGCTCCCTGGCTGCAGATCTGGGAGGAAAAGCACCTTCAGCTTGGCCCTGTGCTGCCTCGGGCACCCGCACCCCACTGTTATCACCGAGGAGTCCCTCTAGGGCATTGACCACCACGCGCTCCAAGGGTGTTGGGGGAGAACCAGAGTAATCCATCAGTCATGTGAACATCCTGGAAGGGGAACTGCAGGAAGCGGGGGAAGTTTGTCAGTGAGGAACGGCAAAGCAGCAGCTGTGATGGCAAAAGGCTGGCGGGTGGCCTTGGGGACCATGCTGAAAGCTTCGACTGCTCCAAAAGAGCCTCATAGTCCTCAGAGCCTGGCCAGAGATCGGAGGACAAGAGGTGGCTGGAACTGATGGGTGTCCCTCAGGAAGGCAATTTAAAAAAAAAAACAACAAACTGGGAGCAGCTTCTGAGTGAAAGATCACGGGGTGCTGAGGGGTACTTGAACATCACAATGAGGCCTCAGGTGCACAAGGTGCTGGAAGGTGACATCAGAGCAGGAGACCCAGAAATTGGGTGTGCCTAGTAGGAAAACAAAAGGACAAATATGCAGAGTCAGCCCAGGTAACCATTTGTCAAAATACAGAACAGAAGGGATGGAGCTAAGCAACAGTGACAACGTCCCTTGGGGTGTGGGCTGGGCCTCTGAGAAGATGGTGTCTATTGGAAAACCCTGATTTCAAACACAGTCACGGGCAGCGTGATGGGACAAGAGAGCGGGGATCCCGACTGTTTCCGCTGGGATCAACTCGGAGGAGGAGTGAAGGGACCACACCATGGAAAACAGCCTGATGAAGGGCACTGGGTGCGAAGCTGTGGCAGCACACACGCTGGGCCACCTCCCTGCACCCAGAGGAGAAGGTAACGCACAGGGTCCTGGCGTGAGATTTGGAAAACTGGAGCTTGTGGCATCGAGTCTGGATCACATAAACCCGGGAGGTCCCGCAGGGCAGGGAGCCAGCCCAGCCCTTCACCAAGTGAGGTTGCCGAGTGGCGGAGCGGGGACCAGCAGCCCCAAAACACTGGTGGTGTGGCACTGTCCCCAAACACGGTGTGAGCCCAAATGAGCCCAAACTGGATTTAGGAGTTGGGGGGAACGGCTGTTTGTGCCACAGCCACTGGGGGTCAGTGCAGACCTACGCAGCCTGAGCAGGACAAAGCCAGCCCTGGCTCCTCCTCATCCGCCGGTCCCCTCCACCCCAACATCCCCCCATGTACTCTCCAGCCCCAACCGTAGTCAGAGCACCCCCAGCCCCGTGGGGTGAGCTCCTTCCAGCCCCACATTGTCCAGGGAACAGCCAAACTCGCCTCTGCTGGGCTTGGGGCTTGAGGACACCACCATCCTTTCCCACCACCCCGGGCTGGGGCTGCAGGTCACGGTCACAAGGGAGAAAACATGGCTTTGCACCACGAAAGGTGCTCTCACAGTTAAAACCAGAGTGGTTTGAGAAGGACATCTGTATTGAGGAGAGATGCTCTACACTTGAGCAGCTGCCGTGCATTGCTGCACCTCAACCTTGTCCAGGGTGCAAAGGCTGAGGTGACACACGGCTCTTCCAGGCTCTTCCACTCTTCTCATGGCTGAGAAAAGTGCTGGCCCAAAGGTGGTGGGGCTGCATGGGCTTGACCAACGTACCAGGGGGGCACACTGTGGTGCCCTGTCTGCCAAGGACAAAGATGCCAGCTGCTATGAGGTCTCTAACCAGCGTTGAAGTGCTGGGGAGAAGCTGGTGGGCATGGTCCGTTTGGATAGCAGTGACACAGAGAAGGAGGAGAAAAAAAGGGGGGTTTCTGGAGACACGTTTCAAGCTGGTTGCCTGGACATTAAAGAGCCAGCATCGGGTGCTTTCCTTGATATGCTCAAAGATCATATCTGTGATGAAGCAAGTCTCAGCTTAAGAGAGAAAGGTCTCAGCTTAAGGGAAGGTAGTGAAGAAGCTAAATGAGATGATGGCTATGCCAGGCTCTGCTTAAGCTGAAAGATAACCAGGCTTTGGTACTTAAAATGAAAACCACAGGAAAATTTTGACGCCACAGATAGGGAAAACCCCGCCGTGTGTGGAACAGCACAGCTCTGGGTAGCTCAGACTGTAGGCACAAAGTCAATATAACATGAAGGTGGGGAAAAAGTGAAGAGCAGGCTGCGTAGCCAAGCACTCAAATAAACAAGGCACATTGAAGCAGCCTAAGAACAAACGCATAAATTCATCTGTAGAAAAGCCAGAAGGTTGAAACAAACGAGTGAGCTGCGGGAAGGATAGAGGTACTCGAAGGAAACAGGCTGCAGGGAGAGCGGCGGGAGAACCCCACCTCAGTCACACTGAACATCCCTCCAGGGGGAGCGCAGGAAAAGGAGGAAGCAAGAAACTGCAGGTGGTGGCTGTGATGAGAAAAGGCCATTTGTGACCTGGAGATCACGCCGAGAGCTTCAGCAGCTCTGAGGCAGCATCACAAATAGCAGAGAGTGGTATAAAGGGGGTTGGAAGCGACGGGCATCCTTCAACCTTCAGGAAGGCAGGGGAGAAGCAGCTCTCCCAGGCCAGAGAGGTGGCCCAGGAGAGCTGCAGGACTGTCAGCCCTTGGGGGCTTCCAGGAAAGCTTCGTTCAGGGGCTGTCCCTTCACCGGGCTGCCTTGGGCTGAGCAGATAAGTGCCTCTGGCCTCCTGGAAGCAAGAGGGCATCCCCAAAAACTTGGAGCACTCAATGCTATTAAAGCAACCACAGAAATAGTGGGAACGGTGACTAAGACTGGAAGGCAACTGGACGAAAGCAAACGGCTGGGGAGGCACTGCGGTGAGTTTTCTAGGGACAAGTCAACCCCCCAAGATCTAGCAGGGTCCTCAGGAGCAGCCGGCTGCTTTTTGGGAAAAGCAACGACGATACCCAGCTGAGATCAAACCCCAATGGGCGGAAATGCTGAGATAAGGCCATGCCAGCCTGACCATCACATGACTTTCTCCTGCCGCAAAACGAGGTTTTCACATTCGTCCGCAGAATGCCATGAAAACGCAGCTCATCCTTGATCCAGTTGGATTTCCACAAAAGCCCCTGCTAAGATCCCTTAGCAAATGCTCTTAGAGAACCAAGGCTGTCAGGGATGAAAGGAAAGGTCCTCTCAAGCATTAACGACTTGCTTAAGGGAAGGAAAATGCATCGAAGCAGCAAACAAGCTGTTTTGCGAGAGAGACGGGAGGTCCAGGCAACTCCGTGCTGGAACCCATGCTGCTCTCCAGATGCAGAAATGGGCTAGAAAGGGGGCAGAGGAGCAAGGTGGAGAAGTTTGATGGTGGTTGAAAGCTGATGTTAATACCTGCGTCTTACCAAGAAACCTGAAGGTCAACAGCAGATGAAACATGAAACTGACAAACATGAGTAAAAACAAGTCCAAGGGACAGGCTATAAATTAGACATCAGCATTTAGGAACGTGGCCATGAAATGCTTACTAGTAACATCCTGAAACCACCAGTGCTGTGCCCAAGATCCACAGTAGAAATTGTGGGTGTTATATAGTGCACGTTTGTGCTGCTCCCCCTTCTCAAACCCTAATCCTTCCACTGGCACGAGCCGCATTTGAGAGTCTGCCTGGCATAATGCTGCATCGATGGAAAACTCTGCTGCTGAACAGCACAGGTCCTGGCACGGGCTCCACAGAAGCTGGGGGCTTCTCTGTATTTTTGGTGTGACCACTACTGAGTCAGCCACTTCTTTCAGGTAGTTCTAAACACTGCAGCTCCTGGCTCATCTCTGTCTCCATTTGGAATCCCTCAGCCAGCATCACCCTGCTCCAATGTTCCTTTTCCATTTTATTTTTTTTTCCAGAGGCGTTTCAGACAGATCCTCTGCTAAGGCCCTGATAAAGGTGAGGTCCAGTAGGGGATCCTTCCCACTCTCTGCTGGAACAGCACCTCAGCAATGCATTAGTTCAGCTACTGTGCCACAGGCTTGCCCTGAACTCTGTGCCTGCACGCCCTGCTGGTCCTACAGATGCTCTGGTGGGTCCTTGTTCCCTGGGGTTTCGAGGGAAGAGTCAGTTTTAGCTCTCAGCTTCCTTTGGCATCAAGAGAAGTGTGACCAGCAGGGCCAGGGAGGGGATTCTACCCCTCTGCTCTGCGCTCCTGAGACCCCACCTGGAGCTCTGTGTCCAGCTCTGGAGTCCTCAGCACAGGAAGGACATGGACCTGTTGGAATGGGTCCAGCAGAGGGCCATGAAGATGATCAGAGGGATGGAGCATGTGAGGACAGGCTGAGAGAGCTGGGGTTGTTCAGCCTGGAGAGGAGAAGGCTCCGGGGAGACCTTGGAGCAGCCTTCCAAGATCTGAAGGGAGCTCCAGGAGAGCTGGGGAGGGACTCTTTGTCAGGGAGTGCAGTGACAGGACAAGGGGGAACGGTTTTAAATTGGAAGAGGGGAGATTTAGATTAGGTACCAGAAAGAAATTCTTTGCTGTGAGGGTGGTGAGGCACTGGAAGAGGTTGCCCAGAGAAGCTGTGGCTGCCCCATCCCTGGAGGGGTTCAAGGCCAGGCTGGATGGGGCTTGGAGCAACCTGGTCTGGTGGGAGGTGTCCCTGCCCAGGGCAGGGGGGTTGGAACTCAATGATCTTTAAGGTCCCTTCCAACTCTGACCATTCTATGATTCGCAAGGCTTGTGTTGCTTTACCATTAACCTGCCAGGCCCGTGGGTCTTTATTTTCCCTGTTCCGGCTCTGCCAGACCTCTCCGAGACACCCCCTCAGCCGCAGACTCTCCCAGGGGCTGGGCTCTGCACCGACGGCCCCCCCCATTCAGCCGCCGCCGCCGGGGGGTGACAGCGCGGCCTAGGCCCGGCGCTCGCCTTCCTGTTGCCATGGCAACCCCGCCAGCCGGCGGCGGGCGGGCG